AATTCATTTGTTTATTCAGGTTGAAGATAGTTGCAGTACAAAAGATGACAGGGAGAGTGCAGGGAAGTGCCAGAATGTCCCAGGATGCTCTACATCACAACATTTCAAACGGCCCAAGTCAGATAGTCACAGCCTGGAACAATTTTTTGCTAACCACCCTCAGCAAAAGCCTAAAAACCTGTCTCTGCAGAGAGTGTTCAGTTGTAAAGATGGTACCAACCGCAAATGGCTCACATTCTGTGAGGAGAATCACACGTTGTATTGTACAGTTTGTTTAGCATTTGCCAAGCCAGGTGAAACAAATCCCTTCATAAGTGGAATGCAGGACTGGAAGCATGTCAGTCAACGAGTAGAGGAGCATGAAAGGAGCAACATGCACAGGCTATGTGCTGAAGCTTATTTTTTACGGGCATCAAAAGCTGATATAGCTAGTCTGCTTCATGGTCCCCAAGTAGTGGCCCACAGAGATCAAGTGCGGAAGAGACGGCAGGTGTTGGAACGTGTTGTAGACATAGTTAAGGTCATTGGCAAGAGAGGACTTAGCTACAGAGGGACACAGTCTGAAGCAGCTTACACTCTGGATGACATGAGCATTGATCATGGGAATTTTTTAGAGCTTATCATTCTTCTTGGGAAATATGATGTATGCATGAAGGAACATCTTACAGAGTGCATAGAAAAAAGCAAGAAGATGCATCAAACCCAGGCTAAAGGTCGAGGTTCTGTTGTGACATTTCTGTCAAAAACAACTGTTATCAAAGTAATATCTACAGTGCAGCAGTTAATTCAGGAGACTATTGCAAAAGAGGTTACTGAAGCTGGGATGTTTTCAGTGCAGATTGACACAACACAAGACATCACATCCCAAGAGCAGTGCTCTATAGTTCTGAGGTATGTCAAAGACACAGTACAGGAAAGGCTTTTTGCAGTGGTGAAATGTGAAGCATCTACTGGAAAATATTTTGTTTAGATGCTTGCAGATGTGATTGAAAAATGTAACTTGGAAATTAGCAACTGCGTCAGTAATGCCACTGATGGTGCATCAAATATGCAAGGAAAATACAGAGGTTTTTCCACACTGTTGTCCTCTAAAGCGCCAAACCAAGTGCATGTATGGTGTTATGCACATGTGCTGAACTTGGTTCTGGCTGACACAGCTGAAGTGTCCCTCTCCAGTGGATCCTTGTTCTCACTATTGAATGATATTGCAGTCTTTTTTCGTGAGTCATACCAACGGATGAATTTGTGGGAGCAAGGAAGCCATGACAGTCGACACAAGCGCCTTTCCATTATCGGAGAAACAAGGTGGTGGGCCAAGGATGTTGCTTTGAAGAGGATTTTTGGGTCCTTTGGAAAGCCAGACCAGTGTGTCTACATTGACGTCCTCAGGACACTGGACAGGTGTCAGGGCCAGGAAAACCTGAAAACAACAGCGCGTGTCAAAGCAAAAGGGTACTTGGAAGGTTTAAGGAGATATGAAACCGTTCTAACTGCTCAGCTTTTTCTTAGGATTTTTGAGGTCACAACACCACTCTCAAAATACCTGCAGACACATGCTGTAGACATCTTGTCTGCTCACCGAATGGTTCTGACCACTGAAGATGCTTTGAAGAGCATGTCAAGAGATTTTGAGTCAGTGAAGAAAGCTGCTGATGTTTTTGTACAGTGGGCAAATACAACACTGTCTGAAGAGGATTGTGACCTTGAACTGGAGGAAATGCTTCCCGAGAAAAGGAGGAGAAAAACGAAGATGATGGCTGGTGAGAAGGCAAGTGATGAGAGCTTCACAAATGCCAACAGTGCATATGAAGCACAAGTTCATAACCAGGTGATGGACACAGTCACAGAGAGCATCCATAGGCGCTTTTTAACCCATGGTTCCCTCCATGCGGACTTGGCTCTCCTTGATCCAAGAAACTTTACAGAAGTTTCTTCAACAGGCTTGCCTGATACTGCATTTCAGGAGATGAGCAAATGCTTGCTCAGGTTTGATAGCAGGGCAACTCCTGCTAATTTGCAAAGTGAGCTAAAGTGTCTGGCAGCCCAATGGCCACGTCTTAAACAATCTGTTCTTGAGGAGTACCAAGTCAGGATAGCAGAGGATGACCCAGATGTTTGGGAAGAGGCAGAAATAAAAAACAGCACCTGCAAATCTTGCAAAGAATGCCCAATGTGTTGCTATCAACTTCTTACACGGTACAACCTCCTGACAGATGCCTATCACATCCTTGGCTTAGGTTACAAATTTCTTCTCACTCTGCCTGTGACACAGGTAGCTTGTGAGAGAAGTTTCTCTGTACTGAAGTACATTAAGAATCGCTTAAGGAGCAGAACTTCTCAGGAACACCTGGAAACATTCATGTTAATGGCCACAGAGAAGGACATCCTCATGTCCCTTGACAATGACCTCATAATAGACAGAGTTGCTCAGAATAGTGCCCTTCTCAAGAAACTTTTACTTCCCCAACATTAAAGGTGCTGTATTGTGAAGATCCAGGACTTAGCCAAAAAACTTGAACACCGACAACTTCTCAGTCCCTCACCCTTTTCCACTAAAGCCCAAAACGGTCTCCTAAGGCCCTCCCCCACAGGGAGAATGAATGCAGGTGCATGAGCAGTGATTAACACGCAGTTAGACACCCCTTATGGCCCTGATGGGTGCATCTGAACAGGGAGCTGTGGATTTCTGCTAATTACACTAGGCTGTAGGTAGTACCAGAGGAGACAGATTTTTTTTTTTAAATTACCTGCTTCATATAGTTCTACTTGAACACAGGGTCAGTTTCAGCAAATATGTCAGAAAGTTAGTTTTATAAGGCCTACTACACTTTTAAATTTGCTTACATTATATTTGAATAGTTATAAGTTATAGTATATAGTAACTATATATTTTATAATTACAAGTTTGTGTAATTTGAGGTTTCTGTAGCCAGTGACATTTAATTACTTGTATTTTATTTTCAATGCAGATGTGATGGTATTGTACATTTTTTGTTTTTATTTGAAGGCTGAGGCTTCATTAATAAACACAACCCCAATTATTATCATCATTGGTTTTGAGATGTTACTTGCTGTGAATACCTTGTCTGATACAGTATTGTGGCATATTATCAGGACATCCTGGCTAGTGTCTGTTGCGCGGCTAGTGGCGAATGGCCGGATGATGGGCCTATTTGGGAGAAAGTCCAGGGCTGTTTTTTAGCCCCAGTCCGTCCCTGTCCCAGCAGTGGCTTGGTCGCCACTTTTGAGCATTTTGGGCGATATCTCGTCCAATCCGCAATAGCCACTTTGGTCCCTGCCTACGGTAATTGTATAAATCTTACGTATATTACATATTATCTGTTTATATGTTCATTTAAACTAAATGTTTAATAATAATTGTAAAAATACAATTGCTTATATTATCTTTGTATTTTTATTCATTTAAACTATATTTTTAATAATAGTTGTAAAAATACAATTGCTCATGTGTAATGGATTATTAGGGGTATAATAATTATAAAAATCATTTAAAATAATCTACTTTTACTATGTAGTGTCCTTTAATTTGGAGTAGAAACTGGGGGAGTGGCTTTATTGCATCAGTAATTTTAATTTTGTGTTATTGTTTTTCCATTTCTCAAACTCTATTTTTCTGTAAATTAAACAATGCATTCAAAGACTTAATTTTGTTTCATTTAATATATTTTAAAAAAAATCTTTGTTTTTTAATCAAACTCTCAAGTAGAGAGAAGAGTCTGTCCATCCTCTCCCTGCTCTCCTCTTCTTCTCTGTCTCTCTCTGAAACCTCATGTCTTCTTCTCGGATTAACTCCATCAGTTCATCCTCTCTGTCTCTTTCTCTCTGCTGCTCCTCATCCTGGTCATCAATTGCTTTTATACGACTAATTTACAAAGCCAAGAAAATTAATCAAAGAGGATAAACACACGGTCACTATTAAATTTTACACAATTTATAAAACATATTGGAACATGTTACCTACTGTATTGTTTCTGTGTTTGTCTGTGGCCCTAATAATGGTTTGTATTTATTTTAAAAATCATTGTAATTCGTTTTTGCTATGGCACTTTAGAAAATTGCATCTAAACATTAATTTAAATATGTCTTGTTACTGAAAAAGAAGTTACCAAGAAGTTACTATGTGTGTGTTTTGCATGTAATTTTCTGACAGCAGCGTGTGAACGGGACTTTTATTTTGGGTCTGACTGTGTGATGTCATAAGTCTGCGGCGCGAGCCCTTGTCAGTTGTGATTCGGCTGAAGAAAGGTTTGTGATTTTTTAAACATTTCACGAGTTTTACAGTCTATGGTTTAAATCGATAAAAATCGTTTATTAGAGTCGGTCTTAAATGAATTATTCTGCATTAAATGTACAAATGTATTGCTTAATCTAACGAATGGACGTTTATTTTGTGAGTTAAGTGCATCCATACATGAGTAATAAAAAGGCGTGTCTCATTTCGCGTCGTATATCTTGAATCAGTTTATCGTAAAACAAATTCGGTCAATGGAGAAAGTTGTGATGGGATAACGGACCTTTTTGATACTCCGAGTCAATTGAATCAAATGCTACACGTAATGATTCATTGATTCGAATAGCTCGAATCACCGCATGCTGACGAGACAGGTCGAAACAGTAAGTGAATTGGAACGCAGAAAACAAACACACGTGTGATTAAATACAACTTTTACAAACCAACTGCAAATGTTTTCTTGAAATTTGTATCTATTAAACGTGTTTAAACTTGCATCCTGTATAATTTGTGTTCTATTATTAATTTGTCCTGCTGGGGGTAATCACTCTGGGGTGCGTTTCCCGAAAGCATCGTTAGCCAACAATGGTCGCAAGTTCCGTCGTTACCAATAGAGTTCAATGGAAATTGCGACCAACTTGCGACCATAGTTGGCTAACGATGCTTTCGGGAAACGCACCCCTGATTGAGACCCAGAGATTTAGTTTGGATTAATTTGACTTGCTGTTAATTATTCTCATCTTAAACAGGAGAAATTGAAGTGACTGAGATCCACGAGACACACCATTATAAAGATGGCATTTGTTAAAGAGGAGAGTGAAGAAATCAAGATTGAAGAAGCGAGGAGTGTGAACCCAGAAGAAACTGAGGAACAAACCAAGATGACATTTATTAAAGTGGAGAGTGAAGAAATGAAGATAGAAGCATTCATTGTGAAACAAGAAGATACTGAGGATCAAACAAAGATGGCGTTTATTAAAGAGGAGAGTGAAGAAACGAAGATAGAAGCATTCATTGTGAAACAAGAAGAAACTGAAGAACAAACATTTATGAAAGAGGAAAGTGAAGACATGATGATTGAAGAAGCATTCACTGAGGAACAAACAGGTTGGTTTCATTCTCAAAGCTGAACTCAGTCATTTGATCCCCATTAAAATGTCCTCCTCTAAAAGTAAAATAAATAATACTTTTGAAGAGTGCCATATGAGTGTCCTAATTAAAGTGGTTTTATTTTGACATTGAGCGGGGTCCCTCATGTGGACAGACATTGAGATCTCATGACCAGACAAATACTAATGCTGCCTTCAAGTGAACATGAGAAGGTCCTACTTCAACATTGAACATTCGTATTATGACATGAAGTCACACATCAAATTAGGAAATAATAATACAGAAGAAGCTTAAACAAAACAATTATTTTGAGTAACATTAAAAGGTGTCATATGATGCTTTTTTCCAAATATCATTATTTTGTGTATTGACTGTAATAAAAAATGTTAACATGCTTTAATGTAAAAAAATAAATAATAATTCACATGAGGGGCTTTCGCACAGGAAGAACTTTTTCACAGTTTCTAGAATAATTGGCGGAAGTACTAACAAGCGTGTTCGCACCGCAGATTTTAGTTCTAGGAACTCCTTTTGGAGGAACTAATTTATCTCCTCCTTCAGAGTCGGTCTAAACCAGCACTATAGGAACTACCAGTGACGTTAGTGTTCGCTGATTGGCCGAACGCACGCGAAACACCAGCACCTGCCATTTAAAAAAAAAAGCGGTGTAAACAGTTATTAACCTATATATTTACTCCAAAAACTAACTCTACGAACATGGAAAACCGTGATAGATGGGCCTCTTAACCTTTACACTGAGGAGAAAATCCAACGCGACTTTGAGGGGACCAAGCCAAACATGATTATGTGTTTCTGCTCAGCAACACTGGATATCAACAACAAGGCATGCACTAATACCTTATACCATATACGGTCTACTTTATAGGTATAACAGTGCTATCTAATAACCTGTTAGACAGGACTGTTAGACAGATCGTAAACTAATGAACACGGAGAATGCGAGCACTGTGTGCTCAGGCTCTGGTGTTCTCAACGCCGTCAAAATAAAGCTCCGCCGCTCCATCAAAATACTTCACAACAACAAGCGCGGCTTACGAGACTTCAGAGTTGCTACTGGCGGTGCGAATGCAACCAGGAAAACGTTCCTAAGGGAACCATTAGTTCTCGGGGAACCGCCCTGGTGGCTAGTTCCTAGAACTACCCGGTGCGAAAGCCCCTATACTGTACATTATTGTAGTTCCTCTTTCTAAAATGCACTGATTTCTACAAAGCCCCTCCTTCCTAAAAGCGCAGTGTGTTCTGATTGGCCAGCTGATTCAGTTCGTAACGCCCCCTTTCCATAATTGCGTGCTTCAGCTTACAAAGCAATTATAATGACAGTTATACTTATACATTAATAATTATGTCTTCAGTTTTTAAACCATATCAGTTCGAGCCTGAGTCGGATCCTGAAAATGCAGATGACCAAGACGATGAATCGGAATCAACTTTGCATGCGCGACTTCAGCAGAACGTTTCACAGTGGTAAGTTACCACTTACCTTTTTTAGATGTATTGTTATAACGGTTTAATTTATCTTCTTTACTGCAACGACTTCATGTCCTACATCTAGGGAAATGAAATCTTAAGTCCATGTCCGACTCTAATGCTTTCTGTACACCTAAAGACTTTGAAAAGATTTAGAAAAGACTTTATAAGATTATCAGCTCACATCTAAAGACTTGGGTTCACCGTTTTTAGTCTCAGACTAAAGATTTTACAAACACTGAATCTTGTAGTGACACTATTTACAGGACTACAACTAGATTATTTTAGCTTTTTATTCCCACCAAATTCCTCCCATCATGCTCAGCAGTGATTTAACAAAAAGGGAGGAGAAGCAGCTAGTTAGCTACTGTATCACATTATGTTGTATGATCCAAAATATGTATGAAGGTAGGCCTACAGTGGTGGTGGTATATAAGATAAGATAGACCTGACATTCCCACAATGGGGAAATTCTCAGTGTTGCAGCAGCACAGTGGATAGTAAAAAAAAATATATATATATATATAATAATAATGTAAACAATATATACAATAAATAAACAGTGCAGTGATGGCTGCTCAGTGCAGTGATGGTGTTCTGCAGGGGGTGGGAGCCACTGTCCAAATTATGTGATTATCATCATTAAATAATAATAAAAATAATAATAAATTATCATTATTATTAAATTATATAAAGGCAACCATACAGTCATGTGAAAAAAATAGGACACCATGAAAGCCTGTCTATTTTTCGACATACGGACATGTAATACCAATTTTAAAAATACTGAAGGACCCAGTGATTTAACTAAACTATTTAAAAATAAGGAAGGCCTTTTTAAGACTCTCTGTGAAATGTAATTTTAAAAGAATGCAATTTTTGAGGAGGAATAAATTAGGACACCCCCCATATATTCCCCCCACACTGCTTATGAGTGTGGAAAAGGATTTAAAAAGATGCATATTTCAAAGGACTTTGACATCAGCCATTCCACCATTTTATCTCACTGAATTAATTTCAACAAAGGGGGGTATCACTAGTTATTAGGGGTCCTAATTTTTTCCTCCATTAAAATAGGCATTTTTATGCATATTTTTTGTTTGATGAGTATTTTTTTTTAATTTATATTGTTTAATTACAATAAATCACTTTATTTTCCAGGAATGAAAAAAAAATCAAATTAGACATTGTTATGTGAACATTTCTTAATAAAGAGTTGACTATTTAATGGCATGACAAGCTCGACAAGGCGCTCCTCTTTATCCCTGGTCCATTTTCGCCTACTTGGCGCTCGTTGTGTTTCCACGTCCGTCGACATGTTTCTTTGTTGTGACTGATGGCTTCCTGTTTCCGGTTTTCTGAGAACGATTTTATTGGTTGTTGATTGTTTTACGTCACTATGACTACGCTAGGACTTGCGATAATATCAAACATGTTTGATATGAAAGACTAGGCTAGAGAAAGACTGGCATAAATCGGGTCGCCGACTGCAGATTATCACCTCACATTTAACGATCAAGACGACGGGAGCGCGCCGAGACTCCAGTAAGATTCCTAAAAACGGCCGGTCTTTAGTCTGGGACTGTGAAAATCCTTTGGTGTACGCCCGGCATAAATTGTAAGGAATTTATATCTTTGATTTCATAGTAACACTTTACAATAAGGTTCTTTTGTTTATTATTCACGTAAACTAACATGAACTAACCATGAGCAACACATTTGTTACTGTATTTGTTAATCTTAGTTAATAATACAACTGTTAATTGTTTGTTCATGTTATGTCACAGTCAGTGCATTAACTAATGTTAACAATGTTTTGAGTAAATGCTGAAATAATTTTAAAGGTGCTCTATGTAACTTTTCTACTAAAATGAATCCTTTTTTTTATTGCCTGTGTGTGAAGGGGTTGTAATCACACATTAAAATGATCCACTTGTCGAGTTTTGCTATTACCCCTGAAGGCCAGTATTCCTATTTTTATGTGAAGTCTCCGGGTCGCGAAATCCAACGTGCATGCGCGCTCCCGAGCCTCTCTCCTTATATACAGTCTATTGTAGACGGTCAGGGAGTTACGTCCGGTTAAAGGCACACGTTTTTCGGCTTATATCTCAGTCAATCTTTGATCAATATTCCCAAGACTCTTCGTAGTGCTGGACGGGGCCTTTGGAACGAGCCCACCCCCGAGGTCCAACTCGCCCGGCTCCCCGAGTTATAGCCGTTCGAAATCGGGGGTCCCAGCGAACGGCGATCCGGTAGGGGGCATCCCCGAGGCCCGCCACTCTAGCGTTCGGGCAAGGGTTCCCCTGGGACCTCCTCCCCTGAATTTGAGCTCTCTGGGTCTTTGCGTTCAAGAGATACGAGCGATTTTCTTCTGAGATCGTGACGTCACCGGCGTCCGCAATTTTGCAGCGCGCCCGATGGTTTTCTGCTAATATCTCCGCGAAAACACCACCAAAAACTATGGAACTTATATGGTTCTTTTCAGCTCGACTAGATGGTCCCAACGAGCTCGGTGCTCGCCGAATCCGTCAAGTATTCGCCGAGACATTTGCGTAATAGACGGTATTGTCTATGAGTTCGAGCACGAGCGCTCTTGTAAAATTTGGTTGCAATCTGAAACATCACCACTAGAGGCCGCTAAAAGTTACATAGAGCACCTTTAACTAAGATTAATAAATGCTGTAGAAGTGAAGTTCATTATTAGTTCATGTTAACAAATTTAACTAATGAAACCTTATTATAAAGCGTTACTGATTTCATGATAGCTAACACTTTTATGTAGCCTGGGAAAACCCAGACAACTTCCGGCAAATTTAGATTTGCTCTGAAAGTTAGTCTGGCAAAGAGCTCATTCAAGCCCATTTCCAATCCGTCGAAATCGCGGCACCAATCAGAAATGTTGGGGCGGGCTTTACACGATGACGACAGCGCTGGGATTTTGAAGCAGATTTTGTAGCCTACATTACAAAGATGGATGCTGCCGTCGAACATCACTCGTTCGAATCAGCTATCGCGTCTGTTTTAAGCAATTTGAACGTCTCCTTTTTGTTAAAAACCGAGCAAAGAACAACACTCGGAGATGTTTCTCCATCGCTCTGCATACGTCATCTCCTTCATCGCTCTGATTGGTTTTAGGTCTATCCGCGACGTCCGTTGGTGACGCCCCTCTGGAAATGATTTGTCTATGACGCTTTGCCAGACCATAACTCAGTTACAACTGAGAATGGTCTGGTTTTAACCAGGCTAACTTTTATGCACAACACATACATTTTACAACATCAAGAAAATTATTCTTGAAAATGAAAACTTGATTCTCACTGTTTTGTTTGGTAAAGTAAATAATATTTAGTAATATTATCATCACATCCCTATTTTCGTTTGATGTGTTATGCATTCTTCTTGTATCAACATCTTTTCATAAAATGCCAAGGAAAGAAAGGATAAAAAAAAGGAACTCTTCTTTTTTTGTTGCCCTTTTTGGTCCTTCCTGCCCCTGCCCCTGAGGAGGTCTGTGCACGCCACTGCCTGAAGTGATGACATAAAATACAGTTTAAAAACAAACTGGTGTATTTTTGTGGTTTATTTTAGGTGCAGATGTGAAAACTGCAATCGAATGCCCACCGACGTTGAACATGTCTGCTGCATGGAAATACCAAAGGTACTGCAATAAATTACTACATAAAAAGATGTGTGTATATATATATATATATATATATATATATATATATATATATATATATATAAAAATATATATGTGTGTGTGTGTGTGTGTGTGTGTGTGTATTAAACCAATCTTCTTTTTGTAAAATGTTCACACACAAGCAGTTTTCACATTTGTGGGGGTGGGGGTGGGGGAGGGGGGGGGGGGGACACATACACATAATTTAACCCTTGTGTGTCAATTTAAAAAAGTTACTCTAAGGTCATTAAAGGACAAAAATATCCGTGTCAACAAACTGTCATAAAAAAGTGAAGCTTGGGAGCACAGACTGACTGTCGTGAATTCGCATCAAACCCCTTCCATTCAGACTGCAGGTGAGATAGCGTGTGTATTCCCCAATGCCTGTTTGTGCACATTCGATACATACCTAGGAACCTTTTGCACGCACTGCTCAGTGGGGATAGTGATGAAGACTACACTCCTACACCAGGTGATGAAAGCAGCGATGGTGAGAGAACTGACAACAGCAACAATGATGAAGACTCCGATGGGAATCGTGATGTACATCCTAGCACCAGTGCTACTGCTGCAAGAGGGAAATCAGCTATCACTACAAAAAAAAAAAAGACAAAAGGTAGTATGGAAGACAGTGAAGCAAAATAAGTCTGCAAAAGACATTCCAATTTGGCAAGGTGCTTTTCCAGATGCTGATGCAGTCAGATTGCCCATTCAATACTTCAGAGACTTTTTTGATTCTGATCTTTTGGATACTATTGTGGAACAAAGCAATCTTTATTGCACACAACAAAATCCAAATGGTGCCCTCAAATTGGATTAGAATGAACTGGAGCAGTTTATTGGCACTGTAGTGTACATGAGTGTTTTCCATTTACCGAGGTCAAGAATGTACTGGTCCAGTGCATGTCGAGTGCCACATGTTGCTGATGTGATGTCCCGAGACAGATGGGAAGAAATAAAACATTTCATTCATTTCAATGACAACATGGCACCCAACAACTGTGATAGACTTTTCAAAGTCAGGTCACTTATTGATTCACTCCTCCCCAAATTTCAGGCTCTCTCTCAAGACCAAATGTTGTCTATTGATGAACAAATGGTGCCATTCAAAGGAAAATCAAGTCTCAAGCAATATATCCCCAATAAGCCATACAAATGGGGATACAAGATCTTTTGTGCTTCGTGAGGCCTGGTGCATTCATTTGACATCTTTGCAGGGAAAATTGAGCCTGTACCAGGACTAGCAGACATTGGGGGAAGTTGAAACATTGTGCTAAAGCTTGTACAAGTTATCCATGGTGCTGCCAATCATCTGGTGTACTTTGACAACTGGTTTTCCTCCTTGGATTTGTTTGTTGCTCTTGCAAACAATGGGATACCAGCTCTTGGGACTGTACGGCAGTGTCGCCTGCGAGGGTGCAGTTTCAGTGCAGACACAGAAATGAAGAAGAAGGGAAGAGGCACACTTGAAGAGCAACAGGTTGTTGTTGACAATGTGGAAATAAGAGCAGTCAAATGGTTTGACAACAGAGGGGTGATCGTTGCAAGCACTTTTGCCAGTGCACAGCCTGTTTCCAACATTGAAAGATGGGATAATAATCTGAAACAGAAAGTGACTGTGGAATGCTCAAGTATCATCAGCCTGTACAACAAGTTCATGGGCGGCGTTGATGCCCTTGATGCACTGATTGCATATTACCGCATCCACATAAGGTCAGAAAAGTACTACCATAGACTCTTTTTTCACTTTGTGGACATGGTCATTGTCAACAGCTGGTTGTTGTATCGGCGGGATTGTGAGTCACTGACAGTCCCAAGAAAGAAGCAGAAGGATTTGCTTGCTTTCAGAACATCTATTGCACAGGCACTCTGCATGCAAGGCAAGGATCTGTCGAAGAAGAAGAGGGGGCGGCCTTCATTGGATGTTGAAAGGGAGTTTGAGAAGAAGAAACATCGAGGTCCAGCTACGGTTATGCCGACACAGGAAGTCCGTTCAGATGCTGTGGGTCACTGGCCAGTGGTTGAAAGTGAGCGACAACGCTGCAAACTCCAACATTGCAAGGGCCAGACTGTAATCAAATGTGCAAAGTGCACCGTTCACCTGTATCTCGACAAAAACAAGGACTGCTTTCGTGAATTCCATAAGTAAAACTGTTTCGTGCAAAGACACTTCAAGTGACATGGTCACTTTCCACATGACCCAATTTCACATGACAGATGAAAAGTTCAGTAATTGTTTGTAGCCAGCGACGCCGTGGAAAGATTCGTGGACGCTCTGATGCTCTGACGCAGATCGAATGTTTGGTCTTTTATTTACTTTATTTAAAGGGGCCGTAAAGCAAACAAGCATGTCGATCGTTATTTTTGCAGAAAATTGATCGATGGAAAGAACTTAAAGGAGTCATAACCTAGTATTACCTTGGATACCCACGCTCTATTATAGTCTTTCAGGCCCTTCTAAAAAAGAAAAGTGGAAAAAAAATAAACACAGAGCTCCTCTGACCCTTATTTCTGAATGCATTATTGTCTCGCGAGATCTGATGCGATATTTTGGCTGTCGTGGACGGTCATTTTAATAATGCAAATGAGGGGTGCGTTGATTGGTGGCAGGAAGGAGGGGGCTTGACACCGCAGGTAACTTCAGCATATCATTCCAAAATGACATCATGGCGCAAGTTGTGAATGAACCCGACCTGGCCGCGACTAGTTTTGCTAATAATGTTTTGTGGTATATTGTTTTCATAATTACATTTAGCAAACAGTTTTAGGCACTGAGCATGGACTCCTGTACCGTCACTACTGTAGTGTAAAACAAAGTGGAAAGATGTGGCTAGCATTCGTTGAGTTCATTCCCCGTGTTTACCTCAAAGCTAACGTTACATACAATAGCCGCATTAGTAGTTAGCTGCTGTTTGTTACACACAGTAGAGTAATAAAAACACAGTCTTACCGTTTCAATTTCAGGCAAGTCCCTGATTGTTGGAATGGCACCTTTTTCCAAACGTAGCTTCGAGGCCAACTTCGCCTGATATTGCCCCAAATTTGTAAAGGATTCCTGTGTAAAATGTTTAGCGCAGACACCTAACGTTGAGCCAGTTGATAGGGTTGTTGGAACAGCGTCATTAAAAATGAATTTCATCCACTGGTCCCTGGTAGTTTGGTCCGTTTTTGGTAGAGAAAACACATTTGAATGCTGATTCTGGCAGTCAACCACAGAGCAACTCACGTGTGCACTACATTTCTGCATCTTTATTGACTGAATATGAGGGGGAGAGGGGCAGGGCGGGCTTCCTGCAGCATATGTCTGCGGTGTCCATATATGGTATATCCTGCCCCGTCTTGACGTCAAGTCGGGGGAGAAATTAAAATCTCGTATTTGAGTGCGCGTGCACGTGGGCTGGTTTACGAACCCTGGGGTAAACAAACGCTTCACTTTTGAATATCGGCTTCCCGGCCAATGTATAATCGTTAGGCAATCATAACATACATTGATTCTCGTGGAAAAGTGAAAATTACAGGTTATGACTCACAATTATAGTGACATGTTTGCTAACGAAATAAACCAATTAAAAGCCATTTGTGTGGTGTGGCTTTTGTTTTCATGGTTAAGTGCTATTCTAATTTGCATTCCCGCTGAAAAACAAGCGTTCTAGCGCGAAAATCTTGCCTATAAATAGTGTTGCGCGCCTTCTTATCAAATTCAAATGATCAACCTCTCCTCTATTTTGCTTGGGAACTAATCTGGTCAGAACCAAAGTTACTTGACTGCGTTCCCTGGAATCCTCTCAAACGGAGCACTTCTGCATTCCGATTGGTTGCCGCCGAACCGCGTCATTATTAGCTTATTACCATAAAGTTGAGCTGATTTCAACTTCTCCTCGCCGCTCTCACCGTCCAAGACGCGCCGCCCTCGCCGGAGCTCGCCGCCGGCTCTCATTGAAAATGAATGACTTCCGGCCACTTTGACGCTCTCGCCGGCGGCGGTGTGAACGCACAGTAAGAATAAAGGTTTAAGTTTATGAAAATGATTTATGAACATATATTTTATATAAAATACTATTTTATGAAACATTGAATTTTGATGGTGTGTTCACACCAAAAGCAAAGTGTATATTCGCATCGCGTTAATCGCTCTAGATGTACTCGCGGGATGTTCAGATTGTTTTTCGCGTCACTCGCGTGAATAAAAACATTGGCCAAACCTGAGAAAATGGCACCATCTGGTAAAAAAAAATATTTTACACATTATATACAAAATGAACGCCTATTAACAAAGACTGCATAATTTTATAGTTAAATGACCCTGGGATTAAATATTGCAGTTTTAATGGGAACATTTTTGTCCTTAAGGTCCTGAGGGTAACTACTTTGTGCCAAACGGTGTGCACAGGCAAAATGATCGATAAACTAAACTAAAAAAGACACAAATGTCCATAAGGATGCACAAGGGTTAAAGAAAGAGGTCATTTGATGCTTTGAAATGAGTTGCTTTTACTCTTGTAATTTTGACAGTATTATAAATAGTTGGTGGCTTGTCTTCCTTAGGTTTTAAGACGAATGAATCAGGTTCCAGGGCCTCTAAAATGCATGACACACCACCCAGGCTTTGAACCGAACTGTTTGAATCCTTACACCCTGCAGAACATTTTAAACATTTACAAAGCTGATTATGGAACTTTGAGGCGTAGAACAGAAGAAGGGTAAGTTGTTTTTTTTAATGCCATTTTATTACATTATTTTGTTAACCAATATAAATGTAATTTCATGACACCACTGCAAAAAAACTAATTAAGACATGAATGTTTTTCTTCAAAATATTTGGAAAAAAAAGAAGAAAAGATTAATTGTATCTCAAAGAATTGAAAATATGTACATATTTTTTTACAGTTTTATCTTACATGTTAATAGTGTCCACAACTCTCTTTACAGGCGGTACCGTTCTCTCGCCCAACGAAGCTTCGTCAGCTGGTGCTGGGGCTTTTTAGGACGGAAAATCAGGGTGGTTCTTCCATCCTGTGTTGTGCTCCGGATTCAGCAGGAGTTCCCTGATCCGGATGGACAGTTTGTTGGATTTCGACCGCCCCTTGACTAAAGCTTGAGACGTGGTGGACAATATCTTCCTCCTTTGAAGGTTTTTCAAACTGAGTTGACAGAAATGTGGGAATGGGGCTCTTCTGCGAATGGTGTGGGGTCTGCAAACACCTGTTCAAAGACGAGCTTCATCAGTTCATTCACATTTTCTGTAAAACATAGCATACAGAAGAAAATTCTATTATATTCATTCATTTTGATACACAACCTACCCCTTTAGAACATCTCAAATGTGTCACTATGTGTAAAGTGTATTTGTAGATGTATTTAAATAAAATTCATTTTATAACATACCATTTAAAGGGGCTGTTTTAAGTGGCTTTGCAGTGCATTCACCCTTCTTTGACTTTGGGAAAACGACCTTGTGCATAGCTTGTAATGCATGACTGCAAGGTACAACCAACAGTAAATGAATAAGATAAAATATAAGTAAAAAAATGACATATTTGGAATTAAGTAGGCACTAATGTATATCTGAATTTAAAAATGGTACAGAATGTCAAGTCACCTTTATAGAGCGCTTTTTACAATACAGATTGTTATTGTTATCAGTGATGGTTCATTTTTATTGTAAAGTTATTAATCTAGTTAATTTATATAAATATATATATATTAGGGGTGTAACGGTTCACAAAATTCACGGTTCAATATGATACACTTGTGTCACGGTTCGGTACGTTTTCGATACAGCAAAAAGAAAGAAATGCCAGAGAAATTTCCTTGATTTAATTTTATTAAATTATATTTTTATTAAAACTAACATAAAGTATGATATTTTTTTTACTTTGAGCAATGATGGAGCTATACTTGACTTTTCTTAGGAGCATATAAAACAAAACAGCTCCTTGGACAAAATTAAATTTAATATTGTAGTAGTTATAAACAAAGGTTTATTTTAGTTCAGATTAACATTTGAGGGCAGCAATTGTATTCATAATGTCAAAAATAAAACCAACGTAATGTTACTTGAAAGCATTCTAGCCAACTATTCATGCCAAACTTCATGAAAAGTTCTCCTCTGGCCAACGAACGAACAGTGTATGATTATGATTCAGGCAGCATTATAGGTTAGATTGGACTGGAACATTTAGAACATAATTTTGTATTTAAGTCGTATTACCTGCACAACATTCCAATGAAAGGGAAACCCACAGTCTTGGGGGCAAAATGCAGGATCGATGAAGACCGATGGGGTCCTGCACCAAACTTCCTTACAAGATGGTGCTACCATTTCTTGTGCCATGGGGAGATGGACAAGGATGTTGGTGTACTCGAAGTCACTGATCAGGATATTAAAAATCTGATTACAGAGGTATTTAAACAGTGTAATGCATAAATTTTTCCAAGTCAGGCATATAAAGTTATCAGACAATGTTTGTCTCTTTTTGCAAATATCAAGGTTGTGTCTCTACTTTCAGGTGGAAAATGCAGAAGGTGGAGAAAGGCTGATAGACTTATCAGATGCGATTGTGGCATGTGGCTACACTGGGCCAATAAATGTTGACCAAAAAAAGGCCATCACAGAGTAAGTTAACAAACATAACATAAATATGTGTCACAAAATGCTTTAGTGTTAACAATTTAACTCTGAATCAATACAGTATTATTTTCTTACTGTTTATTAGTGCCATCGCTTTGCATGCACTGGTGAGGCTGATCCCGATCTTGAACCAGCTGCGTGAGGGATTGAGGCTCTACGGATTAGATGAGGTGTTAGCACAGCACACCCAGATGTGCCAGCAGCTCTTTGTCCCCGGTCACTTACAGGAAGTCAGTAACATTGTGAATGAACAATTATTTTATTAGAACAGCCACTGTTAGAGACACTGATGACTTGCTCTTATGGCATATTCTGCATTTTTACTTTAAGCTGCCTTCAAATGTGTGTTCAAAGAGCTTAACGCTACAGGCCAAAACATAAAATGAATCTTTAATTTAAATCTGCAATCCTTACTGTTTTACCGTGTTTAAGCATTTTATTTGCTTCCTTATTTTAGGTGAATGTAGACTTCCTTCTGCTTGCGCTGTCTCCTGATTTCAGTGAGGAAGGGTCTGTGAGACGGCAGCGAGAGATGCAGATCATACATTTTCTGCAGGATTTCTTGCAAAAGTTGGAAGACAGAGGTAACACACTGCTTAGCACCTTTTTCTATAATCCTTGTGCATCACTCTTACCATACTATCATACACTTGTTTTCCACCGGTTTCATTTTATTCTATTTTTATTAGTTACTCCCTCTTTAGGTTTATATTCGTATGTGTATTCTGTCAAACCCCCGCCATGTATATGACGAATGCATTTGTACTAACAGAAATGTTGGAAATTACTTATTTGTATTTGTCTCTGAGAAGAAGCAGACAGCCAAGAAGAGGGCAGCCCTGAAGGTCAAAGTCACGTGGCAGCTGTGCACGGAACAAATGGTGGGGGGAAGCGCCTGTCAGTCCGGCGCTTCCTTCAGTGGGTCACAGGTCAGGCACATGTTCCACTGATCGAATCCAAGAGAAAGGCACTTAAGATAACTGTTAATTTTGATCATGACTGCGACTCCCGCTATGGGGCACATAGCGTGTGTTACCCCATTGTCAATGCTTGTGCTGTTGCCATTACATTTCCTACACGCCACTTAGCCACCTCCCAAGAGTTTGAAAACAACCTAACCGAGGCAATCTGTGGTGGTTACGAGTTCAGCAGACACTAAAGTAGCATTTTAAGGTCCTTGTTACTTGTTTTAGTTACTTGGTTTCTATTTTCTACTGTGTACAAACAAGTGTACAACAAAGTTGTTCTATTGTTCAAAAGAATAAATCTAAAGATTTAACTGTGGTTGTTGTATATTTTATTTACATCACTTTCTGATCACAAAAACAAACATTAAACACCTGACAAAGCCTGAAGCACATATTCATGACATAGGAGGTAAAGGTCTCTAGTGTCAGTGTCTCCATTTTCTTCAATCAGCACCTGAAGCTCTACTAGCTGCTGTTCATTCAGTGGACACTCAAATTCAGGGACTACTATCACACCATCCACATCTTCTCCATAGTAAGCTGCAACATCCCAGTCAATGTCCGGCTCTTCAATATCCTGACAGTCGAACAAGACAGAAAAATACCGCTATCATTAGTCATCCCATGTTTACAGCATCTAATGTAATCTGTTCATCCCAATTGTTTGGCTTTTCAACATTAGTTGAAGATAAACATTTAGGGTTTGTATAACTATGTAACAAATTGATTTGATCAGGTGCTTAAATATTCGTATTGGTGTTAAACAGTACAAGTGTACCTAATGAGGTTACTGAGTGCATATGAACTGTATTACCAACATTTGCATCAATTGTGATTGTTACACCAGCTGAAGATGTTAAAGACAACTTAGTTGTTTTAAAAGGAAAAAAAAAGAACCTCAAGATTCTCTGGCTGGTCAATCGGTCGAAGCATCATTCCTGAGTGCCAAATCTGCTCAGGAGTTTTATTCCCTTCTGTTCTCAGTGGGTGGTTGTTCCAACCTTCCACAAAAGCCTCCAGGTCTGCCTTCAGTTTAGGAAGGAATGTCAGGTGGACTGTCAAAAGATCTTCTATAAAGGGACAGGGTAGGAGTATGTTACTTTTCACAGGTGAGCTTTGAAAACATAACATTAATCATTGAGTAGCCTTTTGTAAATACATCTCATTGATTTGTTTCTTTCCCCCAGTATTTAACCATTTCTAAAATTCCACAATGATTTACAATGACATACGACTAGCCATTAATGTTTATTAAAGTGCTCCAGACATCTGTTATAAGTGAAAGTGACACGTGATGACACGTCATAAGGACGCCTGTGCCTTTCTTGTTTTCCACCTCAAGTCATGATTATTATTATACCAGGCAAGTTTTTAAGAACAGTTACTTATTTACAATAACTGCCTGGCAGGGGACAAAGACCTCCTGTATGGAATGGGTACTAGAATTAAATAAAATCAACAACAGAAGATGGACAACAACAAACCTTACAAACCATGCACAAATCGAATAATAATAGAACACAGACTCAGGAAACATTTAACTGACTAGGACGTACAACAATCTACAGAAAGTAGATGATAAATAGCACAATATGATGAGACAAACCCTTACCTCTGGAGGACACATCAAGAAGGTGATCCATCTCTAGGCTGTGGAGTGCGTTGTAATATTTTGAAATCACACATGTTCTGACATCCCGCCACAAACGTTCAATCCTGTGGATTTAGAAATGATTATTTTAACAATCAAGGACATGATAAAATGTTAGTATGTTATGATTTTACACACAATAGACCTCTTTATTAGCTTGGTAAAGCATCCAAAATACAAAAAAGAAAAACCTTTGATTATGGACGCTTTTTCCTGACATGAAGCTTCCTCGATCAGTTCCACGGACAGTGAACATATATCGGGCTATTTCAACATTCTCCACTCCCTGATCACCTCTCACCCTGAAGTGCACACACAGATGACCAGTGTGTTAAAATCTGTCAGTAATTTACAATACACAGAAATAAAGTGCTACATTGTGTCAGAATAAACGTGTTCAGCGTGGAGGGGTAAGGCTATGACTGGGAGAGTATAAGGAAGTAGAGTGTTGTGAGGAAACATTTAAAATTATAATCCTTGAGAACCCTGACTTAACAGTAAATTCTTTCTTAAAATATAACATCCATCATGTTTGTGTCTGTATACCTTGAAGCCTGTAAAAAACTTACCTTGAGGGTATTCCATGCCTCTCAGTAGCTTTTTTGAAGGCAGTGAATGCGGTTGATGCACGATTGTTTGTTGCAGCATTCAAGCACATCACCTGTGTTATGAGACATTTTCATAAATGTACATTTACTATTTGTCAATATCTTACATGTACAATTGGATTACACTCTGGTCCCTTCATGCCTCAGGGAATCTGATATTTTAACACACCTTAATGACTCTTACTACCATGCGGCACCCTATATAATAACTTTTTCTCACACGTCAACAGGGTAGTATTTCAGCCATCTGAATGCAACATGTAACTAATTACACATGTGTACATCATAGCAAATTTGCTTACACAGAAGGCCAACACATGAAAAGACCCAATGAAATGAAATCTTACCTTCCTGGAGTAGCCGTCCACTGCACCAAAAAGTACAATGTTGTACCTGATGGGAACAAAATAAAGACCTACATTACCAGTTTCAACCTGGATTTTTATTGTAGAAATATCATGGTAACATACTTATGCTTTGAGATCTATCAGTGTCTGCATCATTATATTTAACTAAATAAATAAATAATGAATAATCTGTACTGTACAGTACTGACCTGATAAGTTTGTGGTTAGTGTCGACATGCCACAGTGAAAGGGGCCCCCTGACAGAGTAAGTTCTTCGCACAATGCAGCCCAGTCCAGTCAGTCTAGAAAGAATCCCAAGCGAGTCCACTCGATGCATTGATGCAGTAACTCTCCTCCACTGGACGTGGATTCCCATGGACTTTAGCCTCCCTTTGACCATCCGATAGCCTGCTGTGGGCATTTCATTTTTGATGCGTTGGACTGCATTATCAAGCTCCTGGTCAGTAGCATTGCTGTAGTTCTGTCTGGCAGAGAGACCAAACTCCCTCATCCGTCTGTTGACTGTACTGGCTGAAACACACAGTAACTTTGCGATGCAGTCCACAGACAGATTTATCTCCAAAAGCTCAACAAGTCTCTCCTTATCTAAATTGTACCTGGGACGCCCCATCTCTCCAGCTACAGTTTCAACAGTACTGCTGGTAACTTCAGTATTTTCAATGTGGTCCATGACCAGATGGAGGAAATCTCTTAAGGCCTGTACAATATCTGGGGGGACGTTTACATGCCTTGACAGTGCTTCCCAGAGGTACAGCTCCTGCCGACATGCAAACTGTAAGAAGTCCAAGTCAAGAGGCATTCTTGAAAGCGCTGACTCTAATTTAATGATTAGCCTGGAAGTAACCTCACGTCTGACTATGTCCTGTTGAAGTGGAAAACAACACGAAATGAACACTTCTTAAGAATATATTGAATACGTATACATTCATTCGTCCATTTTAAATAGCGGGGGGGGGGGGTGTGTACATGACTGAAACAGAGAGACTTCTGTCCATTTTTTAAGTTGTGACGTGTAGTTAAATTGCATTAATGCATTATAGTGACATACATACATGGTCACTAGTTCAACTAAAACACTTGCCATGAAAGGTTTGGGAACCACTGCCCATACTTTACGTTAGGGTTGCCAACTTCCGAAAAGAGAAATGTGGGACATATTACTGTTTAGTTTAGTTTAGTTTATTAAGATCCCCATTAGCTACTGCAAAAGCAGTAGCTATTCTTCCTGGGGTCTATAGACTTCAACAACAAAAAAAAAAATATTCGTATAACATAAAACCGTACATTATATAGACAAAAATGGAGTGTACACATTCTTACATAACCATACAACAACGTACTAAAAGAAAAAACAATAAAACAACAAAAACGACAGCTCTACAATATGCATTATCACAGTACACAGTTACAGCAATACTACTATAGGGTTAATAATTAAATAAAGTACCACATATAAATAATAACAATTATTCAAATGTAAATAAATAAAGTCTTAATCTTTTACGAAAATTCATAGCATTCATTCCCAAAATCAAAAACTGCGGAAGAGAATTCCATGCCACCATTGCTCTATACAGCACCGTCCTTTGTATAAGGTTAGTTCGACACAAAGGTAACAAAAAGCGACTCTCTGTTGACTGACGAGTGGAATATTGATGCACAGCACTAAAAAAAGACAGTCTGCTGTATAATACTTCTGGCATTTTTGTAACAATAATTTTTCTAACAAAATTAACAATACAATAATTAATCCTACTTTTTACACTTAACCAAACTAACCTAGTATTCAAGTCTCTAACACTAGTCCTAAAAGGGCAATTTAAAACTACCCGGGCTGCTTTATTTTGAGCAACTTGCAATTTTCTTAAGTTCATTTCAGTTGTACTTGACCAAATAATTGAACAATAATCCAAATGTGATAGAACTAAGGATTCTACTAATATTTTCATCACTCGATTTGGAATAAATTTTCTACAATGCTTAACAACTGCCAGACTCCTGCCCATTTTCAATAATATTTGATTTATATGACTATTCCAATTTAACAAATTATCAACAATCACACCGAGTAGCTTTGCCTCCGTAACCTGTTCTATCACAATACCCCCCACAGTCAGACTCAACACAAGCGGATCTTTTAACAAATGCTTGGATCCCAGCACCATACATTTACTTTTCTCTGCATTAATCACCATATTATTGTCCCTAATCCAATTTTCAATTAGTTTCAGTTCTACTTGTAAAACTTTGTTAAGTTCAACAAGGGTTTGCGCGGACGTGTAAATTGTAGAATCATCTGCATATAGGGCCATGGTGGAATTCTCTAAAACAAAAGGCAGATCATTCGTAAAGATAGAAAACAAAAGCGGCCCAAGGCAACTCCCTTGTGGCACACCACAATCGAGAGTCTGTATATCAGAATTACTCCCATTAAATGTTACAATAAACTCCCTATTGGCAAGATAACTTTTAATCCATTCAATAGCAGATGTTTCAAAACCATAACAGATTAACTTTTCCAACAAAATTTCATGATCAAGTACATCAAAAGCAGCACTCAGATCTAACAATACTGTTCCAACAATTTTTTTATTTTCAATATCTTTTATC